GCCATTCTATCCCTAAAGTTTTGTGATTATTACTGTCAGTTATGAAATATTGCGAGTGTCTATCGAGATCGGAAGTTGTTGATAAAATTGCAGGATCGTTTGACGCTCACTTGTCTAATTTAAAACCATGTCTATTTAGTATATTTGAGATATCCATTATTAATTTAATTGCTTGTTCTGTTGAGCTTGAACCTGTTATCAAGTCATCAACATAGAAATCGTTAAGGACAGTATTTGCGGCCTCGGGATATTCTATGTTTTCATAGACGCATTCATGTAAACACCGAATAGCTAAAAGGCTTGCAGGAGCTGTTCCATAAGTCACAGTATTCAATCGATAATGACTTTGAGGTTGAGATGAGTCGAATCGCCAAATAATGCGTTGTAAGTCTGAGCTGGATTAATTTCTACCATTCTGTACATTTTCTCCACATCCGCTATCATGACATATTCGTGTTTTCTAAAGCGAACGATAATACTGAATAAATGAGGACCAACCAGTAAAATGTCATTGAAAGATGTTCCATTGCTAGTTTCAAAAGACCCGTTGAAAACTACCCTAAGTTTCGTTGTCAACTTATCTTCGCGGATAACTCCATGATGAGGTAAGTAATATATTAGTTGTTTGTTGTATGCTATGGTTGCGTCGTCAATTTTACTCATGTGACCAAGACTATTATATTCCAACATAAATTCATGATATTGTCTTTTTAAATCGGGATTCCTTTCTAATTTTCGCTCTAATGATAAAAATTTATTTATAGCTTGATCACGAGAATTTCCTAAGTCTGGCACAGGATCTACCATTGGTAAGGTAACCACGAAATGTCCGCTTTGATTCTCAGTCAATGTTTCTTTAAAAATGTGTTCACATTTTATATCTTGTTTGCTCCTTAAGTTAGGCGAATTAATTTCTTCGGTTCTCCAAAATTTTTTAAGTTTATTTTGAATTGATTGATTAATTGATAAATTACAGTGCGATTCGTTTACTGAATTGATCGGGAAGGTAATTGGTCCGGAAACCAACCATCCGAATTTAGATTTTTGTAAAATGGATAAATTAATGCCTAATTTAATTTCGCCAATACACATAAGATCGTAGTAACTTTCTGCTCCTATTAAAATGTCTACCGAATTTGAAATGTTGAAATCAGGATCAGCTAAATTAATTGATTCTGGAATATGCAAATTAGTCGCATCGAATGAAACAAATTAAATTCATAAGCGATGAGGTAAACGAACAACACGGACGCACAAAAACACATACATACATACATACATACATACATACATACACACATACATACACACAAACACACACACACACACAGATTCGATTGTCTCTAGAAAATGACACCTTTCGTTTAGAAATTTTATTAAATCGTCAATTTTTACAGCGTCTGACTTTGAAGATTCTTTATTCCATTACTTCTGTGAATTACGGTCTAATTTTGAGTAAATTAAATGCAGTAATAATATACTCCACATTTCAGTTGGTTCACCTAAATTTTTTAATGCGCGAATGTGTTTATTGTAATCATCCAGCAGTTTTTGCAGATCATGCAACGATTCTTCAACGAAACATTGTAAATCAAATATAGCTTTTACGTGCGAGTTACAAATAACTTTTTTATTCTCAAACCTAGTTTCCACGCGATTTTATAATTCGCTTCCGTCGCCTCTAATTCAGAAACGACTTTTGCGGAAGCGCCGGTTAATGATAATTGTAAATAATGAAATTTTTAAACAAGACTTATGTTTGTATTCTTGTCTATTAATGCATTGAATGAATCTTTAAATGAGAGCCATTGTGCATAATTACCGTCGAATTTAGGTAGGTTAATAGGAGGTATACGCACAAACAATGAATTTGTCGGATCAACCAGATTGTTTCCGATAGGTTGAGATACCGCCGATGTTGGTGTTTCTATACGAGTGGAAATGCTTACCGATTCCTTTTCGGATATTATATCCTTAGCACGAGTTGTTATTTCGAAGAATGAATCTTCAAATTTTTCACGTTGACTTGTTTGTTCTTCAGATTCATCTAACAATTCAATTTATCGTCAAAATCACGCCATAATAATTCAATTTTTTCGAGACGAGTGCGTATTTGTGATATAGATTTTGTGTCATTCAATTTAACCAAAAATGTAGAAAACCTTGTTAATTGTGCCTTAACTTGGCCGCGTCTAGTGTTTAATAGTCTTAATTCAATTTCAATTTCTTGTTCTTCGGTCATCGTGATAAAGAATAGAATAGAAACAAACGAGGAAAATATGCAAACAGCAATAAAATGCGTTTAAATCGATAATGCCGTGTGCTGTGTATAGAATGCGTATTATAAACGAGACGAACAATATTAAAATATCAAACGAGTTAAATGTACAATAATCGTGTCTGTACAAATATTCTAGCGAGAAAATCATTGACTGATAAACGAAAAGAAAAATGTAAAATAACGTGTTGCAAACGAGTATAAGCATGTATAAATGAAGGAAACGTAAAATGGAGCGAACTCACTGTTTTCCATATGTCGTTGTTTTTTCTGTTTTCTCAAATCCTTGCTCTTAGGACCATTATGTTATGATTGTATTCTAAGGACTCCAACAGTAACACAATACATTTAATAATTTTATTATAAGTAGAGAAACATATTTTAGGTACAGTAAGCCATGCGTGATGGCGACAAGACAAGACAGGTGAGATTGATAATGGGCGGTTATCCTGTTACCCCCACATAACTCGATAAGATAGACCTCTACAAGTAGCGGCATGACAAACAACATAAAAATAAAAAAATAAAAAAAATAGAAATCTGCGCTAACAGTGAATTTTGTATACTGACGTATCTCATACCTCGGCTAGCCGATACGCAAGCAGAAGCTGTCAGGTCATGGATTAAAAAGGACTTGGAGGTGCAATCGCTCATCGGATTGGACGTCAGCAGCAACATTGCCAGAAAGATTGCGTCATGCAAGTCAGCAAACGACATGCTACAAAAATTGTCAAAAATTTTTCGGCTACGATTTTGACAGCAAGAAATCAGCTGTCGTAAATTGCTGAAGATCTGGCGATGGCAAGTGAGAGATTACCGGATTATGACACTAATGCTCAGCGTGCTACCGCCGAAGCTGCACTACCTGAACACAACATGGGACAATGTGACTGGAGACCAAATACAATCGAACACTTATAGAAGGGCTGAGATTAGAAGAGGACAGAAGCAGAGAATAGAAATGAACGACGTTCAAGAATGCACTCGTTGCGAGAGAGAAGAAGCCAAGTCAGTCAAACAACCACAAGCCACTGGTACTCCAGTCAATTGCTTCAAATGTAATCAGAAACGACACACCAAGAAGTACTGCAACAACAAACCGTGCGTAATATACATTGCGTACTGCAAAACTAACTGTCCACGCAGTGTATGCAATCAGAAAGGCACATGCAAACTCTTGAAGAACCCAGTAGTCATGCACACCTTCTCCAACGCCTATACACCTGAGCAAAATGGAAGGAAAGAAAGAGACATGCGGAGGATTGTTGAAGCAGCGAGATCCGCAATCCACACACAATCTGGATGGAAACCTTTGGGGAGAGCCGGTAAACTATTCGGTGTTACCATAGATCAGACGGGAACGAGCTCAGTGAGGGATGAAAGCCCTGCCAATCTATGGTTTGGGAAAAGGAAAGGAAACGAAAGGCATTTGGAACGACCTGCTACACACTGACATCGGAACATAAAAGAGGCAAGCTGGACAGGAAATCCAGGAAGGGCATATTTCTTATTTCTCCTTGTTACGGAATCTACCTGCCAGACGAAAGGCACGTTATAAGCTCGAATAACGTTATTTTCAGTGAGGAAGTCAACAGCATGAATCAGACAGACATCTAATCAGCTGCGACAGAAGGAGGAAACTGAGCCGAACTATGAAGGTGAAGAGTACCAGTCAGCTGAAGACGAACAAAAACAAATCTTGCAAGAAGTCAGAGCCCAACCAAATGAAGAAGAAAGACGTCAACCAAGAAGGGCAGGTCTGCAGGATCGTTGGAGAATTGAACCACCAGCCAGACTGACAGTCTACGTGATGGGACACTTCAGAGGAGGACAGCACCAACATAGCAATGATAGCAAGCTCTTCGGGACAAAAGATGGTGACAAGCAATTTCAGAAGAATACGAGTAACTATTCAACATGGGAACCTGGGAATTGGTTGAATGTCCATGTTCAATGTTTGGGTGTTAGATTACGAACATGCTGCTGGGTACTTCGGGAGAAGTCGAATGGGACGGTGAAGGTCAGACTAGTTGCTCGAGCAAGAAGAAGGAGTCGATTATAGAGAAACCTTTAGCTTAGTGGTCCGCCATGCCTCGATTGGACTGAAACTGGTTATTCGACCTGACGTTTGCGTTCCTGCATGGAGACGTGGAATAATAACTATGCATGATATAACCGGAGGGATTCGGAGACGGCACGAGGAAAGTTTGTAAACTAAACAAGAGTCTCTACGGACTCAAGCAAGCCCTTCAAAAATGGAATGAAATGGCCTCAGCACATATGGAGGAACTCGGTATGCGCAACACCGACAATAACCAGTGGATATATAACAACGAGAAGACTATAGTGACGACGGATTCATCGCCGGCCAAGACGACGAAGAGATCTATCAGATTCTGGACCGAATAAACAAGTTATTTGAGATAACTATCACTCACAAGGTTGAGGATCACATCTCATATCTTAGAATGGAAATTAAAGTTAAACCGAATGAAATCATCGTGAGGCAGCTCTAATACACCGAGAAGACCCTCGAACGCTTTGGGTTTAACGTCTTAAAGGAATGATGATTGACCAGAAGAACCTGATAAACGACAGTTGAGTACCAGGGAACACACCCTACTGTGAAAATGTTGGAAGCTTCCTCTACAATCTCTCGACCAGACATCTGTTCTGCAGTAACTTATCTGAGTCGTTACAACAGCAAGCCCATTACTAGCCATTAGAAGATGGTCAAAACATCTTTCAGTACCTGGAGGGGCCTTGAACTTTCCTTGATTTTTCTTTGACGGAGACGGTTCATTTGTTGCCTATATGGACTTTCACTACGGTGGAGAACCTGAGAGTGTCAAATAATTCAGTGGAATCTTAGTGATGAGGGGAGACCCCATCATATGTTACATCCAAAAACAACAGCTCGTCTCTACTTCGTCTCCAGAGACAGACTATGGAGTAGCTGTGACAGTCATCGATGACATTGTTATACAAATCCTTTACTGGTCGACAACCAGTTTGCTATTCATAAGCTACGTAATGCATACGAAGGTAAAATCACAAATGGTAAAAAGCATATTGAAATTACACGTAAACATATCATGCAGTATGCTGATAAGGCTGTGGTCTTCAAACATGTAACGAGCACTGATCAGCTTGCCATATTAACCAAACCACTCACACGTTAATTATTTGAATATAACCTGTATAAGAGGTTAAGCGGTCAAGGAGGAGTGTTCTTATTGACAACTTAACCTAACCTGTAAAACTTTACACTTGGTAATCTATGAATGAGTGATGAATTATTATATAAATTAAGTTGGCCATTGTCATTGTACGTTGCGTCACGACTGACAATGGCAGATTGAATGAAGCCAAAAAGTAAAACAGATCAGTTTTTTGAGTTGTGTTCGTGAGAAGTGCAAGGAATCTCCTAGGTGACGACGCAAAAGTGTTTTATCTTAGATCAGATCAGCGTACTGAGTATACTGGTAGATACGCATTAGATGTCTTAAATAAACTAGGAACTGAAAAGCAATTATTTTGTTCAGATACACCAGAAGATAACGGCGTATCGGAACGATTCAATCAGAGCATCCAAAGGAAAGTGCGAGCGTATAAATACTTACGATAGTAAACCTCCCAAAAACACGTGAGATCTGGCCCTGAGTGCAGGACTATACGCTTACAATTGCACTTCACATAAATCCAATGGATTAAAAATGCCATTAAAATTATTTGCACTAAATGATCCCACTGAGTAGGATCAAATAAAACGATTTGGCTATACACCCACAGAAGGAGGAAAATTTTATAAAAGACGAGATATATGATTTAACGAGAAGCCACTTTATTGAGACAAATAACAAAATGACGACATCAAGAACTGGGTAACTATGTTTGAAGAAGTGAACAAAAATAAATGGTTTTTAGAACCGTCAAGATGATGATAAGGTAATAGAAGAGGACTCAAGATAGGTGGGAGAGATTAAGAGGAAGAAAAGAAGACCGAGAACACATGAGAAACAAAATGACAATGAAACCAATAGGATAGTAATTGAAAGTAAAACGAATGATGAAAGGAGTGAATCAATAGAAAAGAAAAGAAAGCTTGAGGATGAGGTCTACTATAAGACCTTTGATCGAAAAGGCGAAATCTCTTACGCTCTACTAGCAAAAATTAATGATGGTCCTATCTCTTATGAAGAAGCCATTCAAACTAAGCAGAAAGATGACTTAGTTAATAGACCCAAAGGGTCTGAAAGGCAACAGACACCAAATGTGATAGACTATAAATTGGTACTTAAAAATAGAATGGAACAAGATGGTTCCGTAAGATATCGGGCGCCACTGGTTATCAGAGAGTTTAAAGACAGGAATAATTACGACTTGACAACAAGCTATGCTCCAGTGTCACGTTTGACTATATTGCGATCAGTAGGATCATTAATAAATAAATATGACCTTGTCGTTTGTCAGTTGGACATGAAGACAGCCTTCTTAAATGGAAAGATCGATGATGGTAATTTCATAGAAATTCCTAATGGATGTCAATATCCGAATAAATAAGAAAAACGAAAGTTGCAGAAGGCTCTGTATGGGTTACATTTAAGTCTAAAACGATGTAACGAGGGATTCAAGGAACTAGCTTTTAGAGCAGATTTATTTTAATTCGACTCCGAGCCCTGTCTTTTTACTTGCAGATAACGAAAAAAAATTCTAGTTCCACTGTTGTATGTTGTTGAGATGCTCTTAGCGAGTAACGACGAGAAGTTGGACAATGTGAAAACGAGTTTACAGTTGAAATGTGATATGGTCAATGTAGGTGTGTTAAAGATGTTCGATAAGACAAAGAAACTAAAACGATAACTTCAATCCAAGAAACATATATAGACAAAATTTTGAAACGATCTGGTTTTGAAGAAGTGCATCCATAATGACGACAAATCAAGTTAGAAATAGAGAAAGAAAGGAATGTAATGATGATAAAACATTAACTTCTGCAGAAACAAAGTATGACATACCGTATCGTCGAGCTATAAGTAGTCTCTTATATCTGGTATACACTACCAGACCAGATATACTGTATGTATTTAATGTGTTAAGCAAACACCAAATAAATCTCACTGACACTGGCAAAAGGAGTAATACGTTTATAGCTGACATTTAGGGCTAAAAGGAACGACTGTGTAGTGTGATAATAAGGCTGCTCAAGCTAGTGTTTAAACTAGTGGAGGAAATAAACTGAGTACAAACGACTGAAGTACGAGAACATTATGTTATACAGTGTGTTACACGAAATATGATTAGGATTAACTGGATTTCGTCTAAGGAACAGATATTTTCGCTAAACCTCTGCCTTTTGAACTGTACGACCAACTGACTAAGATGATTTTTAACGAACGAAAGTGATTGACTGAATGATAAACGATATAAAGAAATGTTGATATTTAAAATGATTTTTTTTACAGCAACAGAATTTTAAATTCGAACAACCATGTTGAGTGGGAGATCTATGACAAAAACCTATAAATGTTCTCCGAGAATGATCTTCAACCTTTACAAAATTGACTTATAATTTTGCTTTGAGAACATTCATATGACCTGGTAATAGAGCAATTTTGTTCTTGTAGACTAAATTGTATTATTTAGAGCAAACATGAGAGTAAACAGCATTTTTAGAACCTTTATAAGGCACCTAAAGCACTGCCTGGCTTAATAGTCAGAAACGTGTGCTGGTTGGGGTTGGAATACAGCGTTCTCCATGTTTGTCATCATACTGCAGTGGGAGGATGTCGCTGCGAATTTAATACATTTTACTTTCGATATATATACTTGTTCTATGTTCTCTAGTAGGAGTAGTAGTGCTTTAGTCGTCAATCAGTTAAGTGAATGTTTAATTAGCATTAGATACAAGAACGTTTGAAACGACTATTCTTGTACAAGTTATGGGTTTAATAAATATATAAGAAAGAAAGCTTTTGTTCTCGTCTTGATACATACCAACTATGTAACAACAGTAACAATTATCAGATGATGCTCATACCGACTAATGTACAGTCGCGCACATTTTCGTTTTCTTTTGTGTTCGTAAATTTACAAAATGCTGTCTCTAATGAACTTACTTTCTTTATTAAGTCTAAACATCATGTGCAGTACTAAATTGTTTATGTTTACTTTAGACGTTTAATTATCGGTAGTGTTTCCATTCTCTATCCACGTAGCTGCAGAGTTTTTATTGTACTATTCAGTAGACATCTACTTTGCCAATTCCCGCATAAGACCGGCTTCGAATTGTAAATTATTGTTACTTTATTAAAAAATTTTATAGCCCTTAACCACGCTACTTAACTCACCGTGAGATCGTTTATTTCATCTAATTTACTCCTTCTGAAGCTATATATGTAGCTTACTTTACCTTTACCTTTAAACTTTTCTTTCCAAAGTCTGTAAGTAATATATCGCTGGTAAGTACTTCTCTCATTTGATACCCTTCTTCAATCTTTGTAAAGAATTCAAAATTAAAATGCTTGCAACTTTCCAGATGTAAGTCTGCTTGCTTAAGTAATTCAGCTATTTCCTCGGTGTGCTTATCATCTTCGTCAATACTGCATACTCCTTCAGCGATAGCTAGCAGTACCATTTCGTTGGAACGATGAATTTCTAAAAAAAACGAGAAATATCAAAGTACTTAAGTAGATATTGCTGATATAATTTAGTGCGAACAGATATTTCCCGCAAAGCACATTTCACATGACTGTAAAGGGTGACTTGGGTATTGCCACGTATTTAAACACCTTCATGCATTATTACTACTTTATTTAGCTATGTACTGTCTAAGTAACACTTCTATTGTTAATTAAATAAAATGGTGGCCGGTGTTCTTCCGACGCTCCTTAAATTGGTTTTCAGAATAGCGCTAAATCGTTCAACCATTCCATCAGACTGTGCATGTAAGGGCTACGCCATTTTGTTTTAGTGATGCCCATTAGCTCAGTGATGTTCTTGAACAAAGCCTATTCGAAGTTCCTGCCTTGGTCGGAATGCAATTCCATTGGCACTCTATATCAATTAATAAATCAATTACTGACAAGCTTTTCGGCANTATGTAGCTTACTTTACCTTTACCTTTAAACTTTTCTTTCCAAAGTCTGTAAGTAATATATCGCTGGTAAGTACTTCTCTCATTTGATACCCTTCTTCAATCTTTGTAAAGAATTCAAAATTAAAATGCTTGCAACTTTCCAGATGTAAGTCTGCTTGCTTAAGTAATTCAGCTATTTCCTCGGTGTGCTTATCATCTTCGTCAATACTGCATACTCCTTCAGCGATAGCTAGCAGTACCATTTCGTTGGAACGATGAATTTCTAAAAAAAACGAGAAATATCAAAGTACTTAAGTAGATATTGCTGATATAATTTAGTGCGAACAGATATTTCCCGCAAAGCACATTTCACATGACTGTAAAGGGTGACTTGGGTATTGCCACGTATTTAAACACCTTCATGCATTATTACTACTTTATTTAGCTATGTACTGTCTAAGTAACACTTCTATTGTTAATTAAATAAAATGGTGGCCGGTGTTCTTCCGACGCTCCTTAAATTGGTTTTCAGAATAGCGCTAAATCGTTCAACCATTCCATCAGACTGTGCATGTAAGGGCTACGCCATTTTGTTTTAGTGATGCCCATTAGCTCAGTGATGTTCTTGAACAAAGCCTATTCGAAGTTCCTGCCTTGGTCGGAATGCAATTCCATTGGCACTCTATATCAATTAATAAATCAATTACTGACAAGCTTTTCGGCAACAGTGTGTGCACCCTGATTTAGTATCGCTATGCTTCGGGCCACTTACTAAAGTAAACCATAACTATGTATGTATCGGTTACCGATGTCTGCCATTGGGAATGGTCCTGCTACGTCGACTGCGATTCTCTCGATTGGCGCTTCCAGGTTGTGCTGTTGCATTCGACCATTTCCCGCTGTAAAGGTAGGATTCTCCTTATCCTACGGATGCATATCCACTTGCCAATATCCACTTTTTAAATCGAGAGTAGAGAACCATTTAGCTCCAGCTAGACTGTCTAGTTCGTATTCCGACTACGATGTTTTGCTGAAGGGACACTCCTGACTTAGGTGTCTTATATTTCTCCAACACTGTGGACGTCCAGTATAATTGTTGCAGTCCCGAGCAAAATGGTCAGTTATCCCACATTCCCAACAGTTTTAGGTTCCATTCTCCCGTGTTTCTAGATATCGATTATGCATTCCCTGATGAGCCACGCGACACCTTATTTTGTAATTGTACTATCGTCAATGTCTGCTTTTCGCACACCTTCAGAAGCTTGTTCGTTTGCCTTAATTAAACATGAAGCTTTTTTTTACAACCATCACATGTAATGCGCTCTCTTATTGCTAACTGCCTCAGCAAATTCAAATTTGTACCCTAAATACAATACAATTTTATAAACTTATTGATTGTATATGGTTCGTTTTCGCACAACCCCGTTTAAATTCTCTGTTGTTTCTTACTTATTCAACTAGCCGCGAGCGCCTTTCTTCGCGTCGTATTTGTAAATGTGTGTATCGTACCTGCGTTCTGGGAAAACAGTTAAACAAAGAAAAACTAAACGATCCGGATGTTTTTAGAGGGTTCCAGAAAGGAAACAAAAGAGTATTTAAAGGAAGAGACGATCGCCGAGAGAGGTAGATATAAATTGACCGTTGCAGAAGTGACTCTAGAAACAAATTGATAGTGATAGCAGTGAAATAGATAGCTTCGACCTTCCATCACCTAAACTAAATTTTTAGTAGGATCAATCCATCTCTACTCCCACTTAATATCTCCTTACAAATTACAAATTATGTTTCGCAAGAAATATGGTTTTCTTGATTATATCAGTATATATTTTACCCATGACCGTTATAACCCTATAATTTATGACATTATCCTTTCTACCCCTTTTATACACCGGTACTATTGCACCATATTTCCACTCACCAGGTATTTCATATCTATTTTCTCATATCGCTTTCTTCTTTCTTTCTTGTATTCTATAGCAATAAACTCCTCTCCTCCTTCTAACACACATTTAAAGAGAGTGTACCACTGCTCATCCGATATAATTCTACTTATAACTTATACTTATATAAATTCACTATTTTTCAAAATCTGGTCCCTGTATTTCCACCTCATTATTCTAAATGCCACCTCTACACATTCATTATTTATCCATATACCTTATATATTATTTCTTTTTCCTCAAACATGCAGTTCCACCATCTATTACTATTACATCCTACCTTTACTCTTTCCTTAATTATAAATTCATTAACTATTTCTATCATCTCTTTCTAAAATACTACAAATGGCGTGGTGAGCGCCATGTGTAGTACGATGCTACATTTGAGGATTACGTATGCTCCAACAAGGTCCATTTAAAAATATGGACATCTACTTGCTGAAACTAATCCCGGCGTAGCTCACCTCAACGTGAAAGGCACGTTACCATAATCGAACATCTCTTTCTAATTGTGAATTTAATTCACTATCAGAAAGTCTTTCGTCTAAGTCTAACAGTATTTCGAACATCATCAGGCTTGCCAGGAAGCAGTATGAGACCGGGATTGCAGCGAAGGGTGGCAAACTCCTCTATGCATACTTGAGCCGAGCATCCACCTCTCATAGTCCAGTCCCTAACGCCATGAAGAAGGGTGATCTGGAGATCACAAATCCCTCAAACATCGCTAAGCTCTTCGCCGACACCTTCGCCGAGGCTTATACAACCGAACCTCCCGGCCCGCTACCTTCCCTTGACTACCCTCCTCAGGATGACCATATTTCCGACATAGATCTCTCCGTCAGAGACGTCGAGGAAGTCCTTCGCTCCTTGGACAGCTCTGCCTGCAGTGGCCCAGACGGCATTCCATCTGTAGTTCTTAAGAACTATGCGGAAACCCTCGCACCTTTTCTTCACACACTCTTCAGGCAGTCTCTGGACAAAGGTACCATCCCGGAAAACTGGAGGAGGGCCACGATCACTCCGATCTTCAAGAAAGGTAGCAGGCACTTGGCGAGCAATTACAGGCCTATTAGCCTCACCAGCGCCACCTGTAAAGTCCTGGAGCGCCTGCTTGCAAAGGAAATCCTAGAGTTTGCCTTGCAGAAGGGAATCATTCCCCCCCAACAACACGGTTTTGTACCTGGTCGCTCGATCAGCTCCAACATGCTTCTTTGTGTGGACGATTGGGCCAAAGCGGTGGACTCTGGGATTCCTATGGACATTGTCTACTTCGATTTCTCGAAGGCTTTTGACAAGGTTCCACAACGACGGCTGCTCTAGAAGCCATCTGGGAATCAGGACAAACTTCTTGCCTGGATCGAGGCCTACATGCGTGACAGGACCTTCCAGACAAGGATTGGTGACCGTCTCTCCACCTCTAGGTCGGCTCCGAGTGGGGTTCCCCAGGGCTCTGTTCTTGGTCCCCTGCTTTTTAATCTTTACTCATCCGACTTGCACGTGCGAACAACATCCCAGCACCAGGCATACGCGGATGATAATAAGATTTATGGGAACCCACTGACCCAGGGTGACTCCAATCAACAGGACCTTGACAACCTGGCTCTGTGGTCCCCCGATTGGATGATCCCGCTCAACCCGGGGAAGTGCACTGTCCTACACCTAGGGAAGAAGAAAAACCCACACAGAATATACCATCCTGGAAACCTGGCGCTGGCTCCTGTTATCTCTCAGGTAGATCTAGGCATCATCGTGTCTGATGATCTTAAATGGGACCTACAAACCACCGCCGTAGTAAAGAAAACCAACTCCTTCCTCTATCGTGTCCGCAAAGCCGTTGTGGAGGTGGACATCCCGCTCCTACGGAATGTACTGACCACCTACGTACTTCCGATGGTCGAGTACGGGTCCACTGTCTGGGCTCCGTACCTCCAGAAGGACATCAAGGCTCTGGAGGGTATCCTGAGACGCGCTTCGAAGATACCCAGAACACTGAAGTCCTTGCCATACGAGGAGCGCCTGAGACGGCTTGGGCTGCAAAGCCTGGCAGACAGGCGCCTTTTTGCTGACCTCACGGAGACCTATCGTATCCTCCACGGTCTGTACCGTGCCTCCGACCTGCAGAAGATCTTCCTCAGGTCGACGTCGCAACGGGGTCACAATCTGAGGTTGAACGTGTCGCGTTTCAAAACGCAACACCGAGAGTACCACCTGGGCAACAGGGTTATCTCCACATGGAATTCTCTTCCGGCGAGCATAGCCCAGGCCCCGAGCATCGATGTCTTCAAGGCGTCTTTGCACCGTCACCTGTTTGGATCTACGAGATGAGCTGCCAGGACCCCCCCTCTCAAATGATCTCCTACACAGT